TATATATATATATATATATAATGTTGACTTGTTACGTAGCTCTATTCTTGGAATCTTGTACACCCTTTTAAATTGGGTTATATTTTGGTGTCTTCTTTTCCCTTCATTTTGTATGGCTTTTTGTTGTTGGTTTGCTTTAGTGTAAGGGGAGTTCGTAGAAAAAATCGTCAGAGACTGGCATACCACCATCACCACCGCTTCTACCACATAGTATCATCTTCACGGACGATTACAGAGCAGCACACCAATTGGGCGCAATTTCTCGTTTGTTGTGGCTGTGGTTGGTGTTGTTTTTAGTTTCGCTTGATAAATACAGGCAATGCAGGTAAATCGGGACAATTTCCCTGCAATTTTTCCAAAATTTGTGCAGCTTCTACAGACATGTGATTTTTTTTCGTTTGATGAGGAAATGACGGGGATCAACACACCGGACCTGCCAGAGTGTATCACCGACACACCTGAGGAGAGCTACCGCGCCAAAAGTACAGTGGCCAGTCGCTATAATATTATTCAAGTTGGTATATGTTTGTTTCACAAGGAGAAGGACGCAACAAAATCTGCGCCAGCGCAGTACATTGCCCGTCCTTTTAACTTTCTCCTGTTTCCCAATCACGCAGATGACTTCACAGCGGCAGAGCGGTCAAGGGATGTGGTATTGAGTCCCTCTTCACTTTCCTTTCTGCGCCGGCACGACATGAACTTTCAGTATTGGGTTTACAACGGTATGGCGTACTGCGATGGTGTTCAGGAAGAGGCTCTGCGCAAGAAACACCAGGAAAAGTACCAAAAAGAAGTGTTTGACACAAAAACTGATGCAAAAAGGAAAGACACTCAAGGTATCGACCTCATGACAGAGGATGAGAAGAAATGGTTTGATAACGCTGTCGCTACGGCGCAGGCTTTTTCTGATCGAATTCAGGCAGCGTTGGAGCGGGCGGCTAATGAGAAACACTCCGATGTGGTGTTTCCATCTCAGAGCATGGTTGAAGTAGCCGCTTCCATGGATCTCCTTCAATCCGGTGGACGAGAAGTTTTTCTCCCCCCTCAGCGGAGTAAAAATGTTCGTGAGAAGTTTGAGCGGTACTTGGAGCAAAACATTCCCAATATTTCTCTCACATTTCGACGCCAAGGTGTTATGCAAAGCGGTACCTTGCATGCCATTTTTCCAGAGGAGCGGTCAAGAATGCTCATCAAGGAGCAGACGCATCGTGAGCGAGAATTGATGGATATGTTGGGTTTTCGATTGGTTTTCAAGGCCCTTGCAGAAAGTAATAAGCCTTGTGTCGGTCATAACTGTTTTGCGGATATTCTCTTCTTGTTCGCATCTTTGGAGGGTCCATTGCCTGGTACATTACTGGAATTTAAAGAACGTATGAGGCAAGTGTTTCCCATTGTATTTGATACCAGGTACATCGCGAGTCGCCAGGATTATTTTCCAGTGGGACGATTTGGGTCGCGTTACTTGAGCGGCTACTTTGGTGAGTATGGGTTTCATTCAGCAAATGTACATGTTACCCTTCCGTTGGGTTTTGAGTCGTACGACCCCTTGACAGTTGAGAGATCAAGTTTTGGAAGCAAGGGAGGCGGTGGCGGTCCTACACATGAAGCGGGGTATGACGCTTTATTGACAGGGACACTGTTGCTTAACCTGCTTGCCGAAATCGGTTTTGATGGTGTTTCAAATGCCCCAAATTGTTTGGTAAATCGGATATCACTCTTTCGTTCGCTATATGCTCTGAATTTGAGCAATACAGAAGAAGAGGGAGAATATCTTCCCAGAAGTGGTGTATTGGAGCTTCGGCATGAAAAACACATCCGGAGCCACCATCTTGATTCTTGTTTCTCGGCCCTGTCTATGCAGGGCGTTGTGCTGCACTCCGTTGATGAGACGTGTACCTTGGCGGTTCTTCCCCCGTCTTGGGCCAAGTCGTGTGGCGTTGAAACGGCGGATGTGGGGTGGCTTTCTTCACACGTGACGTCTCGTTTTCCCCAACATTTTGAAGCAACCGCATACCGCCCGATACCCGTAGGGGGTGTAAGGGGTGGCGGTGGCGGCCTCCGCGCGACACCGAAAAGCCTCATGCGGTTTGTCTTTCGGAGTTTGGTGCGGTAATTGAAATTGGGGAATGGCGCGCCCTTTGTTGGAAGGGAAGTGCGTTTCCTATTTCCTCCCACCCTTCCCCTTCCCTTTACCCGGGGTGGGGAAAGGGGATTATTGCTAGCGGAAGCAAATTTTTATCAAATCCTCTCGATTCTCTCTCT